ACTAATTCCAGATTCCATTTCCGGATTTGGTGACTAAAAGATTAAGTTACAACCCTAAAGCGAAAACAATCATGGTTAATTCATATACAATAGACAAGAAAAAGTGTTCTTTATATGAAAAAGGGAAGGATGCGTCAATAATTTCTTACAATTTTTTTCAATTGCCCAGTTTTTCTGAAAAAAAATTTTTTAAAAAAAGACTCGAGCATGTGGAAAAAAAATTTTATGTTCTAATTGCTTGACTCTTCGATTCAAAAAGGGGACTTTTATGTCTAATGCTGATTCAAGTTTAAGAGAAAATATTGAGCTATTTTTGTGAAAAATATCATTGGCGTTACACCTTATTCCGCATTACATATTTCAAACTTAGCTTTTCCAGATTTCCTTCATTTGGATGATCCTACATTTTGCAAACCAGGCCGTATCGACGCATTGATAGAATGCCAATGTGTATTCTAAATTTTAAAAAAAAAATGACGCATTTAAGATTAATTCATCAACGAATAAATGATGGTTTAAAAAAAACTAAAAAATGATTAACGAAAAAATTACTGCCATTGAGGTAAAAACGTGCTTGGGGTGTGTGTGCTTTGTACTACATTTTTACACTAACTTTGCATTTTGGAATAGAACCAGTCAGAAATTATAACAATTGATATCGAACACCCCACGCTTAACCACAATGACATTAGTTTTCTCGTTAATCATTTTCTTTTTATATTAAAAATTATTTTACGTCCAAACACAAACAGTTACATACTTAATCTTACTAATCTTATGGTAGCGTTTCTCAAACTGTGGGCCGCGCCCCCCTTTAGGGGCGTGACAACTCTAAGAGGGGGCCGGGAGCATATTGAAAAGTTGAAAAAAATTTAGTTAAAAAAATTATTAATTTACTGAAAGTATACAAACAAAATACATCTTGACATAGTAAAAAAATAAAATACACATTTACTCTGATATATTATACTTATAAATGTATCAGTACTGCACAATGTATTTTATAAATAATTTAGCAATACTAAGTTAAGAACGTTTAATAACTACCAGCGACCCATGGGACTGTCAGATATAAAAATATATACAAAGATTAACACTTATCTTAATAATTTGTACTCTTTATAATGAATCCCTTAACTGCCGATTGAAAATTATGCGATTCGCTTCCCAATGCCAACAGTTTTCTACGTAGGCGCGCGTATGTGATATATTTGGGGGAAGGAAGGAATAAAGAAGTAAATAATCTTCAATAAGTAAATCCTTCTCAAACATTGTCAAGGTCCTTTTATTGCATTCCAAAACTTTCGGAATAATTTTATGGATAACAGTGCACAGAAAAAATCGTACTTCGGAAAAACATATATATACGTCCGGGGCAATAAACGCTTTGGCTGAGCGAGACGTATATATACGCCGGTGGTACTTAAGAGGTTAAAGTCGAATTGTAACTAAGCGCCAAAGTATAGTAATCTTGAATTTAATACATTATTATTGTATGAGGGGGGCGTGATGAAAATTACGGATTGAATATTGGGTCACGAATATTGAAACTTTGAGAAGCACTGCCTTATGGCCCTGTAAGAGTTAAGAGAAATTTGCAAATATTGTTCTCAATATGCGCAACCCCCCTTTTCTTTCATGAAAGTTCTTTTTCTTTGATTACGTATTCATAAAAAAATGTCACAGGTGTCGTAATAGACTACATTAAAGACTTTCTCATGGTTGTATTATTTTCTTCAATGAACTGTAGATTTATAAAGGTCCATTATTTCAACTTAAGTTATCTTAAGGTATCCGACTACTTGCGACCAGTTTTTTCTTAAAAAAATGGTGGTATGGAGATTTTAATTTTTTTTTTCGTGGTTTGTAGGTTTATTTAGTACATTTTAAGAAAAAAAGGCTAAAGTTAAGAAGAGAAAAATAAATTATTACAACTAAAATAGGGAAAAACGGGTAAGAATTGACAAAAAATTACATAAACGGGGCCCGTTCTGTACAAATAGTAAATGAATGAACTCTCAATTTTTCAATTTTGATGCATTACTTTGCTATTGCTTTTTGAAATAATCTTCAGGATAAGAGATATTTTAATTTTTACAAAAACTAGAACACTTTATCTTAGTTATTTTATCAAATTGCTTATAAAAACAAGTGATTATATTCACTTACGGGACTGTAAATTTTGTAATAAAACAATGATTGATAAATCTGAAGGTTAAAACACTCCTACTGTTATACAGAAGATAAACAAAAAATTTCAGCAAATCATTTCAAAAACTTTCTAAGCAATTGCTGTCCCAGCTTGAGTTTTTCGAATAAAACACACTTCGAGAAAAACGCATGTTAAAGTTTGACATCTTATGTAAAGTCATGACATCTGCTTTTACTAAAACACTTGTAGTTTTTGTTCTAGTGAATGGGAAATAAAAAACTTGGTATTTTTATGAAGCTAATAAGATTGCCTATAAAATAAAATTATAAAAAAATTTGTCAATTCTTTTAAAAAATCATGATTTTAGGGTAGACGGATACCTTAAAATAATACATTTCATTGAAAAATATTAAAAACTAAAAAAAAAATTCCAAATCCTATTCAAAAAATTTCAAATTGAGAAATCCTCACGCGTAATCTTATGCTTAAATAGACAAGGCACACACACACACAATATATTTTCTTCAGCATATTTGTAGTACTTATTTAAACAGCACGACAGGTTAGTATTAATTTCAATATGTATTTTACTACCTTGTTTTGAAAAAAATTTTACGCGCTAACTTCACAAGCAATAATTTCGATTAAACCTGGAATGGTGTCGCATGTTATGCTTCGAATCCCCTTTCAGACGTTTCCTGCTTTATATGGAATGCATGTCACTAAGTCAGTGCTCTTGTAACTTTTATCTAAAAGGAATTTACGATGTCAAACTCGGACGAGTTCCTTTCACGATATTATTCCATATTTCAGATAAAAAATGACCTGATATAAATTGTTTCATCACCTCATAAAATTCTAACTGCTCATGAAAACTTTAGTGACACTGGAAAACCAAAGAAAAAACGTGTATTCTTAAAAAGTGCACAATAGTTTAAAGAAACTTTGAACGTTATATACCGTATTTACTTAGATCTAAGCCGCTATCGATTCTACACCGCACCCCCCCCCGCCAATTCTCAACACGTTTTTGAGAAGAAAAAAAGAAATTTTAATTTATATGAGATTCATCTATATCCGATACTTGAGGAATTCTAAAAAATAAATGTTAATGAAAAATAATAAGTTAATAACCTATTTATTTTACCAGTATTAAAAACTTTCAAATACATGCATATATGAACCTATAATTACTCTAACCGTCAGTATCATGCTTCGAAAATGATTCGTTATTCCCATTGTCACAGCTGACTTCGGAATTGGTGCCAGTGTCGCCATTTTCCCACACGGTGTCGTCTTCCATGCGACCCAGTGCATTTGTAGTGCAACATTTCTTAAAAGAATGTATAATAGAAGAATGTAAAAGACTGCTGAACATTAACAAGTAAAAATTATATCATTTTACTTACGCCGTCGACGTATATTTGTTTCATCCCTGTCAAATTTTCAGTGGCCGTTGCTACGTTTCCGTTTCTTTCTGCATATAAAATTGTCTCCATTTTCATACTTGTACATAGTGAACCCGTTCTGATGCTATTACCGATATCTTTGATGTTTATAGATGATTAAAAGAAAGCGTATGCAAAAAAACATTTCCTAAATACAAGAAGACAACGATGTTTAGGATGGATTGAATACTAGAGATAAACTGCGGAGTGGAATAAATCATCGATTCAAGTGGTTAGAATAGACGGTTACATTTTTCCTTTTGAAAGGGATAAAATTTCAATTTCCCCCATCCAATAAATATTTTGCCTTCGATTCTAAGCTGCACCCGATTTTCAGTAGCATTACCACTGGAAAAATATTGGGGCTTAGATTCGAGTAAATACGATATATATATTTAATTATCTGATATATATTAGATTTTCATTGACATAATAATCAACTTGTATATTCACAATTAAGTAAAACTATATTTTATTTTATTGAATTGTGTTTAAAAGAAGCAATACTATGCTCTAAAGTAAGAAGTACGGGATAAGGTTTTGTATATAAGAGTGTATAAGAGTATAGTATAACTACTTTCATCGAAACGGTATATAAAAAGGATGAATTACAAAAGCATAAATAGATACTATTTTTAGAAGAAAGCGAAAAACTGAACTTACGTATAAAGCTTATGCCTGATACTAATAATTGCTGCTTCTATTTTTATTCGAGATTATTAAATTTGTTGTCTGATCTTTATAAAGTTTCAAAAAGTTGGCTAATCTCCAAAATTGATATTTTAATACTATTGTGTCAATTATTTATGCCATTCATTCTATTTTTACCCGCTTAAGAGTATATATTCTCTATATTTTTGTTTCTATATATATTTTCCATCTATTTAAATTCATCGGGGCAGTTGCCGTTTTACGAAAAATTAGAAAAGCAAACAATTTTTCATGCAAAACACTCATCATTACATATTCTTACTCCAATTGATAATTCGGATAAATATATATTATTTTGAATACTATGCGCAAATTTTCAATACCGTATTCATTGCATTAATATTTAACTGTTTTAATTACTTTTCAACTAATTGTTGCAGGTCATTATCTAGAACTGAGACAACTATGTAACAAGAAATATAAAAAAAATAAGTCAATTCCTACATAGGTCAACAAAGCAAATTTTATTTTAGTTACATTTTATTAATATAAATAGGTATATACATATGACAGAATCACAATATTAAGTGACAAAATAGAAAGGGATTTTCCTTGAAATTTTCCATTTTCCCTTCTATATAGGGTGTTGAACTATTTTTTTTGCTTGTTACTATTTATTCATTCATTAAATTTAATCATTCTAATAAAATAGCATAATACAAAAGAAATCACATTCTTAGAAATTTGGCCATCCCAGATGGGATTCGCACCCATGACTTTTGGATTAAAAGTCCAACGCGTTATCCATAACATTACAGGGACACAACAGTTTTCCTTTCTATATATGTTGTTCGACTATTATTTTTGTTTGTTACTATATATTCATTTTTTAATTGAATTAGTGCATTAATATTTGAAGTGTCATCCACTACAAGTTTTAAAAAAATGTATTTGAACTTGAATGAATGAATAGAAAGTATTTTATTAAAGTTTGAAAATTTTAACTAGATATATATATACAGATAGCTATAGAACCTAACTATTCAAGATAGGAAATATTAGGCACAATAGTACAGTAACAAACTCCTGGCCTTAGGAACCAAGATTGCAGGTTTAAACAAGTTTAAGGGCTAGCCAACCTTCACCTGCAATTTGTCTATACAAAGTGCCAGGGGAAGGAAAGAATAATATTAGGAGAGAAAAATTTAAATATTACAAATAAAATCACTATACTAATAAAATATAACGATAATATTATAGCCTGCTAGTATTCACAGCATTCAAAGTCGATGCAAAAGGTAAATATTGAGACTTACTTCGTGAGTGTATCAACTAGTTATGTTTCTCTCCCGCCAAATACAACAGAGGAATATCAGTACCGCATAAAGTTAAAAATTATGATAGAATAATATAGTCTATATATATATATGTATGTATGTTTAAAAAACCATAAATATATATTTATATAAATATTTGTGAAAAATAAATGAATACGAGAAATATTTAAATAATAATATTATTAATATATATATATATATATATTAGTTTTTATTTCCATTCTTTTTATACTTTTGTTAAGTGCTACATTTCAGCCATTCACATGATTTAAATCTGCATTAGGGTCCAGAATCTGGCAATAACTTATTTATTGCACTCAGATTTAGCGCGGGCTCTGCATTTTTAAGTACAATTTTTAGGTAAGTGACCTCTATCTTGTAATGGATTTAGATATTCCTATCCATTACTTTCAATAGGTTTTTGCTCAGTATTATTTACATAAAGGGGAAAGGTTGGCTGGTCAAAAAACATGTTCAACCCTACTTTTATATAAATTATTTTATATATTAGCTGTCCTAAGTCAGCAATGTTTATAATACTGCAGCATCCATTTTATAATTTTTAATCTCGGTTACTGATATGACCTTCATTGTTATATATATATATATATATAGAGAGAGAGAGAGTGAACTAATAGTAAGGATTGAAAAAAGGGTTAGTGACATTTTTTAATTAAACTTAAAAGTAACATTTTCACTATCACTAAAATGGTTCATTTCAAAACCACGTAAAAAAAATGACCACAATTAAGTTCAAATGAATTACGACAGTAAATAATAACTCCGTTTTCAATGAACCTATCAAAATTTTACTAGACAAAAAAAATATTTTACAATTTCTTCTTTCATGTGCGTGACACATAAAAATGACTAGAGGATGTTAATTTCTCCGATACAATTTCCTCTTTCGCTTAATTTTGATTATTGGAAAGTATTCCCTATGAC